AAAACCCCAAAACCCCAAAACCCCAAAACCCCGACTAATGCACTTGTTATTGAATAGGAGCATTAAAATTATATGTTTAAATAAGATATCTATTTATAACTTTAATAGTCCAAATGCAATATGAATGATAAAGTTGTATCCTATTGACTATTTATATCAAGGAATTTTTTCTAGAGTCATTTAGAATTATTACTTCCGTTTAAAATCTGAAAGATACTTTAATTTAAAGGTTTCGTAGTGTATTGCTATTTCAAAGCACTATTTCTAAGTCTTTACTTCTCAGAGTTATTATCGATTCTGCTTGGTTAATTTAGTTTCTAATTCAAAGGAAATATCTTTTCTCCCTTTTCAATATGCTTATACTTAGGAGGTTTACATACAATAGAGGTCTGGTGTTTCTAAAGCTTTTCGTTAGAGATATTGCTTATTAGATTTTATGACAAAGTTCTGCTATGATTCATCTACTAATTTTGCATAAGCAAATTGCTTTTTTATGAAATGTCTAATTCACAATGCAAACTATGATTCCTTTAGTGAATGGTATTCTAATGGCTATTGCTATTATGCTTAATTTAGTCAATTTTCGGCAAACTTATCTTCAATATTCTTCTTATTTGGGTATTAATGCTGTTATTAGTTTTATGATTTGTAACTGACTAATTATTACTACTCTAATTCGTGTAATTCTCGATGTTTTTTTACAAAAAGCTCTATTATCTTCCTTGAGCAATTTCTCCGAATGGCTTCATTATCTTTTAAAGGATTGATTTGACACTACTATTCAAGACTATCTTATTTTTTTCCTTTTTTTGTTTTTAAATCTTCAATGTAGCTGCATCAATCTTTTCTCTAACTTTTGTATCAAGTTTTATATAAGTGGGCTATTAATCTTCTATCTTTATAGATTCATCTCTCTAATCACTTTTTGAATCTGATAGCTAGAGGAGAGATTCCTTGGAATTAGAGTGTATTTTATGATGCATAGGCATCTGCATTTAGTTTGGAGATTCAACTGTACTTTTATCGCTAAATTTACTGAAATTAAATAATTGAGATAACTTTTCTTGTTTTAACGGGGATGTTCCTCGAAATGAAAATATATCATCAACTTGTTCTAAATTTTCAACTTTACAGCTAAATTTTAATTTCTCTTTGTTTTTTATGCTGTCATTCAATTTTAACTCTACCTCAGAGTTATTACTACCATTATTCCTAGAAGATTACTTTCTTTAACTTAATTTTTGAGATTTCATGCTATTAATTTTCAATTGTAATCGCAAATGGAAGTCTTCATCCTCAATTGGTGCAGTAGATCTGCCCAATAAGACTCTATTATTAATTTAAGAGCTTAGCTGATCTACTTATATTTCTTCATTACCCTCAGACAGTTTTCTTTTTTTATCAAATCTTCATTGTAATTAACATGTATTTTGAACACAGAGATTATTTTCAAAGCTTTGGAACAATGGGATAGATAATTCTTTTCTTTTCTCTTTATTTAATCAGTAATTACTCTATTATTATTATTTCTATTAAATATTTGGGCTCATAATTTCGGGAGTAGATTACTCCTGTAAATAATTTATATTCTTTTTCTTTAACAGGATTTTTTGGAAAATTTCTTTTTGATTGCTAAGTGCGTTCGATTTGTTTAATATATCAAAAATTTTAGGACTCAGTGTTTCGTAGTCAAATATAGTTTAGCTAATTTATAATCAGTCTAGTTAATGATAATTTTTAGCATCAATAGATATATTACTATTATCATTCTTGCTCAAATTCTTATTCCTCGATTGTATAGATATTACTTTTATCTATGGCATAGAACTTGAATTTGTATGTAGCTGTAGTTACTGTTGTTTAATCGCTTATTTTCTATATAATTCCATAAGTTTGTCACAATTGTTGTTGTACAATAAGCCAAATATCAACTTTAATTCAAATCAATAAATAACTTTTACGAATTAAATTAAACAAGTAATTTGTGTGATGGAAAGCAAAATAAAATATAATGATTATATTTACTAATTCTTTCACCTTATCTTGTCTTAAGGGGTTTTGGGGTTTTGGGGTTTTGGGG